TTAAATCTTTATTAATAGAAAATTACGGTTGATGATAAATTGTAACAAATAATTAAATCAACAATTTAGTTGATAACTTCACTAAAACATGTATACTTCACCAACTTTGACCTGAAGTGTTCTCATTTTCTCATCCCAGGTAAGTCAAGTTTTCTGATCTGGTCCTTATTACTTGACCACAGTTTCTAGGTTCAAGTTTAACTCGTCTCCATCCACACATCCCACTTTTCTTGAAAGGCCTCTAGCGGTGTCGCCTCTCTTGAATATCTGCTATACTCTGACAGGTGTCTTGACCATCGACCTTCTCCAGAGACCAATTAGACTTTCCTGAAATAAACGTGGGTCTGTGTCTCTTGTATTGTGCTTACTCACAGAAGTGTGTAGATTAATACGCGGCCTAGCCGAAATATTGTTTTTTTGTTGTACAGACATTCACGGTGCCCAGAGGATAAAGCATCATTACTTTTGTGATCCTCTGACCTTTATTCTAGTGCCACCGTGACATAGACATTTATGGTTCTGACTGAAATATCTATTGAAGTGATTATGGTAAAATGTGGCACAGATTTTCAATGCGTCCCAGTAGATGAATTCTTGACTTTGGTGATCCCCTGTTGTAAGGACACCACAGCACTTCAATCTTTTGAACTCTGTCTATCATCTATGTTATACCCATTTCATTACCACTACATTTATTTTAATACCTTTTTTAGCCATGCTAGCAACATGGATTTACGGTCAGTCATTTGGTCCAGATTGAAAAATTACACCAACCATTAGTATGTTGGTGTAGGCGAATCCACACCATAAAATTAAGATCAGATATTTAAGGAGGATATTACAGGAGGATAAATGCTAATATTTCAACATCTACTACATGGATTGGTTTCATTTTGTAGATATCCGTGGTATCCTAATTGTCACATTTCTTCTGATGCTGCCATGAGGTCTCGACAAATACCTGTTGTATTGCCATGAAAAGTGGAGCAGATCTCCATGGTGTCCACAGCATGAACTGTAACAACTGATGGCATTTCCATCGTCTCCTCAGCTGTACTGTACAAATGATAGCATGCTAACACTTTCGGTGGATATGGGAAACATAGCAAACATTACACCTGTTAAACATAAGTTAGTGAGTAATTTCCATTGTGAACACATCATGTTGATGTGGCCATTACAGCATCACACAGCTGCTAGCATGGTTGTAGGCTCTTTGTCATGTTTCAAAGCACATTTTAAACTCTGCTTTTAAGTATGTGCTACAGTTTATAGTTTGCTTACAATTCAACAGCAGTGTGTGTGTTGTCAATATCTTGGTTACCCTGGATAACCACTCACTGTTGCAATCTTTACCTTTGTAGGTCCCACTGGAAGATGCTGCTGGGTTTTTTAAACATATTTTTTAATGTTTGAGCATCACTAATCTAAAATAAGTAAAAACAAAACTATGATTCCACTAATGGTGAGTTTTTTTTTTGTGATTTGGGTAAATCCATCTTTTGTTTTAGGGATGCAAAACTGTGATTTCATCCATTCAGTATTCAAAAACCATTTTCCTATTGTTATCAAACATCATTAAGAAGCTATAATACACATCATTAATGAGCCTTTATTAATGAGGACTTGTGGAGGAATACAGGTTCTATCCATTCATTTTCTATTCACTTTACACACCAGGAATCCTGTCCAATAACGGGGTCTCCAGCTGCCTTGGACCTCTCCTTTACCCCCTAACATCCTCCTTCCCGTTCTCTCACTCTCACTTCCTCACCTGTCAGAGGTGGAATGTCGCTGGCGGATCCAGTCCTCCAGGGTCTGACTCTTGACAGATGTAGCGATGCTCAGTCGAAATGTTTCCCAGCTCCTGTTCAGACAGTAGCCTGAAACAAGCAGACAGCAGCAGATACTGCCGGACAGAAGTGAATGAAACCCAGGCATGATAAACATTAATGAATCCACACAGCTCATACTGGTGCAGGCTGCTTACAGCTATATCTTTTAGATGAATTGAAAAGAACAGGGATTAGTTTCACTATGTTCAGCTTGTCTTATTCTATTTCTTCTTTTCACCAGCTCACTCGTAAGTTGCTTTGATAAAAAAAAATAAAAAAAATATGTAAATGTAAATGTAAAAGATGCAGAAATACCTGAAAGCCACAACACATCTACGGTGGGGATTTCTCTCAGTGGACAAGGCAATAACATACAACTGTAAAAGTGAGACTTTGGTACTGGAGAGCTGTGAAAACAAGTTTAACTGACATTAATACATGAGACCTGGCTGATGTTATTATATTCTTAAATTGCTAATATTTAAAGCATACGTCATTAGTAATAATGTGAAGGTAAACAGTTGGAAACTGTTGGAGACTATTAGGCTCATAAAAAGTTAATGCCCATGTCAAACTGCAGATGGAAACAGCACAGCTGTAGGAACACGTGAGGACAGAGATTACAGACTGTGACTTGGTTCTATCTTGAGTGTCAACAGGAATCTTTCATTCACAGATCTTTTCAGCAAACAGAGAAGTGTAGAATCTAAAACCCTTTTCCCAGGAAAAAGGAGTTCTGTGGATCCACTCTGTCCGGGGTCTGCTCTCCTCTGTGGCCGATCTTCATGGCAGCGTGCCAGCTCTCAGCATGAAAGGAAGTGGCTCTCGGGGGCAGTGCTCAATTCGCCCTCTACTGGGCGGAAGTCAGGCCTCAATGAGGCCGTCAGTCGAATAGGTCATGCTGTCAGAGCGCACCAGAGTTCACATCCTCTCATTAGACTGCAACACTTTCAACATCCCTTCACTGGAGAAAAGCAAAGTCAGGGAAATTGCTCTGAATTACACTTACGATAAAACAGGCTTACGATGATGGGATTGTGCAGGTGTAGTCAGGTAGACAAAGTGTGTGTGTGTGTGTGTGTGTGTGTGTGTGTGTGTGTGTGTGTGTGTGTTGTCATTACTACTTCCCTCACACCCATGCACACGGTGCGCACACTCACACATCGCCTGTGTAACTTATCAGTTTACACCATGTGGTGAAGACATAAAGATTCTCAGCTGCTGAAGTGTGAAATGGGGCTGCGATGTTAAGGTTCAGGTTGTTGTGTTGTGATACTGAAACACCAGGTTTGGATATGATCTGTGAGTCAGCAGAATGACTCTGAGCTAGAGGCTCTGAAGCCTCTCTAGAAACAAAGGCATGTCCGGCCAGATTCCTTTGAGAAACTGTAGTAAAAGTATCGCTGCACTAACCTCTTTCAGCTATGCTGCAAATGCTTATTTGATATTGTGTGGGACTTTGAAATTGAATGCAAGAAGATTTTATGTTGTTGATGTATTTCCAGGAATTAACATGACTTTGAACTGTAACTCAGTATAACTACAGTATAACCTCAAAGATCACGTTACTGAAAATGAGTATTCTTGCTTCCTGTGAAGTGCAAAGGCTGACGCAGAGACACACTACTCAAACAAACAGAACTCAACAAACAAGCTAGAAACTTTATTTGTTAAAACAAGTATATAGAGTTGCTGTATTACATTTTTTTTTTTATCTTGATGTGGTTTTATACATTTACCAACAGTGGTTTAGTAAGGCAACTCCTAATGGAAACAATGGCATAAGTATACAATACAAATTAGCAAACATATCAAAATCAGTTTTTACAACTTTTGTAGCAACCAATTCTTTCTATTGGTGTGCCATAGTGCAAACTGTGTTGTTTGTAAGACAGAGTTTAACGCGTGATCTCGACATTCATTCATCTATTCTCTCTGTCTTAAACACATTTTTCATTTGTAGGCTGCATTCATTGTGCCTTCAGTTCAAGTCCTTCTGTCCAGTAATGTGAATTTACAATCAGAATAATTCAAGTGTATTGGGCAGGTCTGGCTGTTTTTGTTGGATAGTGATTATGACTGAGCAACGATGCTTCGTGGTTGAGTATGTTGCTGTGTGTTTGTATGGTAGAGTACATGAAGATCTGTCGAGACCTGAAGGGGGATTTCACGCTGGTGGAACATGTTTGTGTCCATACGATCGACCACCGCATCACCGCCGCACTCGGGATTTTATTCCACAGCTCTTTGCATTGCTGATCAAGAAAAAAAATTAAATTACAAGTTTCATCCAACACAGGAAAGATAATGACCTCTGTCTAATTTTCCAAATGAGTTAATGTTGCAAGTTTTGTTTTGTTTTTTATAAACGGAAGTGGTGACTAAGGACCCATCTTTTTGACTCCGATGAACCTGTGTGTACTAAAGCATGTTCTACCAGTGTGAAATTTCGCTCCGAGGAGTCTCCAGCTGTGTTTTTCCAAGCCCTTTCAAAAAGTCCTTGAGGATTCCTGGTTTCACTCTGAAAACATAACTCGAAAAAATGATTATCACAAACGTATAGCTTAGCAAAAAGTGTAATAGCTTGTATGTTGGCTATGAGTGGAGTGGAGTGGAGTAGATGGCATATGAGTATAATCTGTCAGCATGTTTGCATAAATGGATAGAGCACAGAACACTGAGACGATGGAAAAAATAAAAGTTCTGGATAACTTTGATCATTTCTGTCTACATTCACTCCAAAGTCCAGCATGTATGTGCACGTGTGTGTGTGTGTGTGTGTGTGTGTGTGTGTGTGTGTGTGTGTGTGTGTGTGTGTGTGTGTGTGTGTGTGTGTGTGTGTGTACATGCGAGTGTGTGTGTGTGTGTGTGTGTGTGTGTGTGTGTGTGTGTGTGTGTGTGTGTGTTCCTGTATTGATCTGACTTTGAGCCTCTATGGCTATGATTTCACTGGAAGAAAGAAATGAGCTATGCCGGTTGTGAAAGCGCTGCCCTGCGGAAAAGTCGGGCTGTTTGTGGCCTCTATTCTGGTTCTATTGCACCATGTTCTGCAGGAAAGCATCGGAACTGGTGGATTGGTTGTGTCAACAAGTCTGATGTTGGAGGCCGGAGTGAGCCACAGCCCCTCCGTCCTCCCGTCCCTCTCGCCGGGGGCTCCGTCCCGACTCAAGAGCATCCACAACGGTCCACCACCATGGAGGGGATCTTGCCGTAGATGATCTGCTCCTTGCGGTTAAAGTAGAGCATGTTGATAGGCGACATCTTGGTGGGGGTACAGCAGGGGCCTGCAGTCCCTCTGGGGTTGGCCTTGTTCACCAGGTGGGTGTGCGGGTACTTCTGCAAGTGCATGTACTCACACTCCCCAGAGCAATAGTTGGCCTTGTAGCGCTTTGGGGCAATAATCCAATCCCAGCCAAAGTCTTCAAAGTCAACTGTGAGCGGGTAACGGCAGCACCGGGACTCTGGCGAGTTCTCGTCACAGTCCAGCCCCGTGTCTCTCCTGGCTCGCTTGGGGCCCTCTGAGATCTTCACCTCCATGAATGGTTGCTGTAATGACAGAACGTGCGTTAAAACTTGTATAAAATAACTAGTTTGCAAAAAGGTGGATGACAGCATTCATCTTACATTTTTTTAATCCAGCAGCCTCGACCTGTGATGCTGGGTTTCAAACATGGCACGATAATATTATGAAACTTTGAGTTTTAAAGAAATTAAATCATCTGACGGTTGGTTAACTTCAGCCGTCTAGGTATTCTAATTGCCCCCGAGCCTGGTGCCAGTATTTGAGCCATGTGATGTGTGTTTGTCATTGATAGCAGCAGTGTGTGTGTGCAGGCAATTACTCTGATTTACACAGTCACACAGAATACTTCAAGGAATGTGAAGCAGGTGAACTTTTATGTAATCAAGCAGTAAGATTTGAGGTTATTGTGGACTGGGCTTCTCTCCAAATGCAGGTGTATGCCTACATGGAGTCTGTGTTGATTAACAGCTTTCAAAAGTCTTTTAAATCTTAATTCCTTCTTCCAGCAGTGAAACGCATGAATGTTTAAACACCTGCTGATCCTGCAAAGCCTCTCCTCACACTGAAACCTCTGGAAGCTTAAAGCTAAAACCTCTGTACCATACAACTGAAAATCCATAATACTTTTCTTTGATGACCCAGTTGTAATCTGGATTTTTATTGGTCCAGTTATCATACTGATTAGGATCAGGACTGGGATCCCAGATAATGAACCGATCCAGCAGCTGCAGCAGTTACAGCTCTCCACGCATGCACCCACACTTATTCACTCCTGTGCGTTTACTGATGAAATAAACTGCCAGTTATCACTTAGAGTAAAACCTTCACCACACGGTTCTGTTTAATGTGAAATAAAGGCTCTGCTCACCAGTCCTTCCTCCCCGGGCTCTGCGGAGGTCACGGCCAAGTCATTTCCCCTCGAATCGAAGGCGTTAATCTCGATGCCCCAATTGGTCTCCGGCTGCCGCAGCCACACGGTCAACACTTGCTTGACGTCTATACTTTGCCAAGAGCTGACCCCGGAGTTGACGTCGATCTTCAGGGAACGGATCCGTATGTGCCTGTTCCCGTCTGTGACCGGCATCAGGCGGGAGATCTGCAGGAACACTGTGGTCGCTTCGTCCGCCGGGCGCAAATGCACCCAGAGCTGCGCCCGCATTATGCGACTGGCTTGAAACTTCTGAGTGAAAGAGAAAAAGCAGCACTTTGGTTCCCCATCCACCTGGACGACGGACTCAGCTGGGGAAAGATAGGAAGAGAAGAGGTTCTCTGTGTTTACTGACCATGTGTGATTGAAATTTACAGACAGAAATAAACTGGTGTAAATAAAAATCCTTGGCATGGCATCTGAACTCTGGAAGTGGGCCCTGTGCGTAATTACCACGCGCGCTCTCTGCACAAATGCATTGATCCATATGCTATGTTAATACTTTGTAATATGTGTATGTGGACATTTTCAATAGCTGATCAAATCCTGATAAATCGCTAAACTACATGCTGTCAAAATAAAGACTATTTATAGCGTCTCGTGTGCTCTGCCCCGTGCGTAAAAATCTATTTTGGAGACAACTGATCTCCGTCCTTTTCATCATGCACAAAACACAGCCAGACAAAAACTTACGTTCAGTGGCCATCATCACTATTGTCTCCGTGGTGGCATGCTCATCGTCGTCCTCCATGACTACATCCTTGTTGTCATCTCCCAGCACGTCGTACTGGTCGAGGAGCTGCTGCAGCGGCGGCGCTTTGGGCAGGAGCTGCTTCACTATATCTCGGCTGATGTTCGGAGCTTCTTTCATTCGCAGTTTGCTCAGAATCTGAGATTTAATCGCGTTTAATCGCATGGTTTTGATCTGCTGCCGGACCTCGCAGGTAGCGCACTGCTCAGTGTCCTCTGGGCTGGTGGCGGAGGGCTGCTGGTGCGTTTCTTGGTCACTCAAAACTACTGGACCCAAAGCAATCAGCAAACTAAGATAGAGCACAATCTGAGACAGATGCATTGTCTCTACGGTGTGAAGTTTGATTTAGAAAAAAAAAAGATCCGTGGTGCGTGCTGGACCTAATGCGTGACTGGACTGCGTTTGGATTAATGTCGCACTCTGATAGGCATCATACTTTATTAGCGCGCACCTTTTATACTCCAACTTTAGCCTCTTTTGTGTCGTCAAAAACTATGATTGGCTGGACAGGCAACAATGAATTTTAACCGACTGACATGAAAACTTTTTTTCGCTGTCAAACCATAAAGGGACGCAGACTGTGAGCGTGCACTGAGCGTGGCCACAGATGGATAAATTCACTTTTCTGACGGCGATTGCGCAACAGGGGCGCAGACTGGACTGTGCGATATTTAATGTTCTGATGAACTTCAACGTATCCACACAAAACAAACAACAATTGGTCTATTGCATTTTTGAGAAAAGATAAAGCCGTTTCAGAGATAACACACAGGGTTTCTGAATTATGAACAGGCTTTTTTTTTTTCAAAAGAATAGGCTACATTTTAAAATAAGCTCACATTCACATGAACTACAGACATGATAGATCAATCAAATGTCTGTCTGTACTTTTCTGTGTCTTTGGGGAATTGAGGAAAAATAAAAATCATAACCTTATGTAATGGTAGTCTAATGGTATTTCTGTTGCTGTGGTCTGTCGGAGTCAGATTTCTTTGTGAGAACTGAATTATCGGTTCACGTCAAAAGTGAAAACTGAAAATTCATCGGAGATTTAAATTAAAATCATCGGAGATAAAGAAAATCCTTGGTCCAGGATTTGTCCAAGTCCTTGTTGGTGAAACCTGTTGTAGCACATGAGAAGACGGCGCCATCGTGTGGCAGCAGAAACACCGACAGCTGCAGCTCAGCAGCGCCTGGCGACAACCAAAAACAGAGATTATTACACATTCAAATACATTCAGGAAAAGACACAAGACAGAACACAAGATTAACGACCCACCTCTTTACAGATCCTCCTGCAAGTCTTTTCATTACTTTTGCATTGCAGGTATATTTATCGTCAGCTGTTCATGCGTGACAGTATGAAATAGAGACAGGCGCCAGATTTTCTAATCAATTCACCAAAGACTAAATATTCCAAACACTGGGACTGATAATCAATATCAATAATCACTGCTCTAGTCAACAAGCAAGATAGACTGATAGATGATAGATAGATGTTTCAGCTGTTGGCTGTAGGTTAAGATAGTTCATAGCTACAAGTCTGAGTTAGTTGTAACAATAGATGCACGCGCACGCACGCACGCATGCACGCACACACGCACGCACACACACACCTTCTGGAGTCTGGACCTCTAATGAGCTGCACCACACAATTCTGTTATTGTTTCATTCAATAGTCAGATGAGTCAAATACATGTCAATGTTTTCTGCTTGTCAACACTTAAATCATAAATTATACATGGTGGTCTTCCTCATCACTGTTTCATTATGTGGAAATTAAATCAGTCCAAAGCTCTCTCTTTACTTCCCTCTTGCATCATTCACCAATGAACACCATTTTTTCTCAATAAGGTTATTGAAGAGGTCAAATAAAAGTCACTAACATGCTAATTGCCAGTTAGAAAATGTGTTAGCCTGTGAGGTTTGCTAGCTCGCTAATGGGACAATACTTTACAATGGTTATTCAAAAGATGAATTGGAGTTTCTGTCTTGTACTTGTTTGTAAACCATTGTTGTTTTGTGGAGCAGTTTCTACTATAATGGAGCACCTTGTGGAGAGGGCTGTTGCCAGGATACAGGAGTGTGTTTTCTCCCTCTGGATACCTGTAAATGTATTAAGTATTTCTAGTTTTCAAGGCCAGAAGTGTTCACTGCACAATGACATGATGTAGGGGAGACTAGGGATGGTTGTAACATGGGTCAGTTGTAACACTTCCAGTTTCTCCAGTCAGGAACAAGTTAGTTATGAATCACCTGATTCACTGTATACCTGCTCAGTTTGGTCCGTACTCAACATGTGAGGAAGTAGCTCCCTGTGACAGACTCAGACAGTTTTAAGTAGAAAAACTCATTTTGAGGTTAGAAAGTTTTTTTTTTACTAAATCTATTTTTGTAACAGCACTGTCTGCTCTGTAGTTAAACTCTTCAAACTTATGTCATGTCTATTGAGAGTCTATGTAGATATTTTTCATGCTAGTTATCAGTGCTAATGTTTTAACTGTAAGCTAAGCCAGTTCAGGGCTACTAGTCTGGGTAGTTGTAACAACAACAACAACAACAACAACAACACAACAACAACAACAAACACACACACACACACACACACACACACACACACACACACACACACACACACACACACACACACACACACACAGATTAAAAAGCCATGTAGGCTAAGTGTTGAATAAAAAGCTTCAATATCCAGTTTTTGTCATAATCCTCATGTGGTAATGTGACATTTCATCCCAGTGCATGTTACAACTCACCTGGACTATGAGGTGAATTGTAACATTTCAGTCCTTGTGTTTGAGACTAAACCAGACATGTTCTGTTTGTGTTGCAGAGATAACACCTACATCATTTAACAGCAGACACATGGAACTCGTTTGTATTAAAGTTTGAACGCTCTGACTTAAAGGATACAACATACAGACAGAAATGTCAATGATGTTACAACCATCCCTGGTCTCCTCTACTAAGACAAACCTTTGACTAAACCAAGTTGTGTTGAAGTCTACTGTGTAAAAAAAAAAAAAAACTAACTCTGACTCACTGATTCGCATGGCCCCATGAGACATTGTGAAAAGCCACTTCATAAGAAGGCGGAGGGGTCTTCTTATGACAACACAGCTCCAATTTTCCATTAATTAAGCATAAGTGGAACCAGCTGTGTGCAGGTAGGAGAGTTATGGTGGACGGTTCTGGGACCTTCACTTGTTAGGGCCCGAGCGCCGACCAGCGGTGCGAGGACCCTAATGAAACTGTGCTGTTTATTATTGTTTTCCTTACCTAAAGTAAATTGCCTTTTTGAGGCCTTTCTCATATTCAAAAAGTCATGAAACTCTGCACACACGTCAGGTCTGGTGAGAATTTACATCTGTTATGGGTCTCACACATAGGCATGACAAAATGGCTCAACAGCACCACCTAGAAAATTTCAATTTAAATAGCCTAACTGTACTGCGCAGGAAGTGTGCACGCCCTTAATTGGTAAAGTAAAATAGAAAGGCCTCTGTCAAAGTGAGACATTACTATATGAAAAATATTTATTTCATTAGATTTTAGATACAATACTACAATTATGAAAACCAGTCATGAAAAGTAACTGAAGCACCATTTTGTGTTACTTTGCTTCTGTATTGTATTTCAGGCAAAAATTTGTACTTTTTACTGCACTACTTACTTACTAAGTATAGATAGAAAACGCTATTCATCAGTAGCCTATATGATGTAGTTACAAGATTGCTTACAGATATTAACCCAACAATATAAACTAATATATTGTTACTTGTAGTGGAGTAGCTATTTTCACAGCATGGTGGCTACAGGAACGTAATGCATTCACTTAGGGAAAAAAGATTTGCTGTTTTTCTGAATTAACGACATAATTATCTCGTTAATTCAGAGAAATAAGATTTTTTTA